TTTGCATTTTGCAAGCATGATCGCTGAAGGCGTGATGGAGGCCTTCATGAACGGCAAAAGGAAGGCATCGTCCCCGCAGCAAGCTTCGCGACAGATCAGGTTCACAATGCAGATGCCTCCGACTCCTTCCTCGGAGTATTCCTGCACTCCAGAAAAAAAGCAGAAGAAGTCTGATGGTGTTGCATTGCAAGAGGCCGGGAGCCACATGGAGCTGGATGCAGCATCCCCTGGCATGGCTGGAGACTCGATGGGTGCGGAGAATGGGCTTGGCCCTTTCTTGTCGGCCCCTGTGGCGCGGCCGCTTTTTCCGTCATCGGCCTTTGGCACTGCTGGCTCTGTGAAGGTCTTTGCGACCAAGGACACGGCCGCTGAGAAGCCTCGCAAGTTGCCGCCAGCAGATCCTCTGGAGCAACAGGCAGGAGAGTCTCAGCAGACTCAGCTTGATGAGGAGAAGCCTTGGAAGTTGCCGCCAGCAGATCCTCTGGAGCAACAGGCAGGAGAGTCTCAGCAGACTCAGCTTGATGAGGAGAAGCCTTGGAAGCTGCCGCCAGCAGATCCTCTGAAGCAACAGGAAGGAGAGTCTCAGCAGACTCAGCTTGATGAGGAGAAGCCTTGGAAGCTGCCTTCAGCAGATCCTCTGAAGCAACAGGAAGGAGAGTCTCAGCAGCCTCAGCAGACTCAGCTCGATGAGGAGAAGCCTTGCAAGTTGATGCCAGCAGATCCTCTGGAGCTTGATGAGGAGCAGCCTCAGAAGTTGCCTTCAGCAGAGTCTCTGGAGCAGGAGGAAGGAGAGTCTCAGCAGCCTGAGACTCAGCTTGATGAGGAGAAGCTTCACAAGTTGCCTTCAGCAGAGTCTCTGGAGCAGGAGGAAGGAGATTCTGCAGCAGTTCCGTTGGAGCAGCCGGGAGGAGTCATTTGCGAGCCTAAGAAGAAGCTTGATGGGGAGAAGCAGGAGAAGCATCGGAAGTTGCCTTCAGCAGATCCTCTGGAGCAGCAGATGGAGAAGAAACCCTTGCCTGCTGACCTCGAGGCTGCCCTGGCCGAGTTGCGCACTTTCCTTCCTGTGCCAGACTACATTGCAGAGCAGAAGTCAAAGACGCTCGGCATCTTTGGCCCCAAAGCTTAAATCGCAAACTGCGTAAAGCCTACTTGCACTAAGTGGTAAACCCGAAACCCTGAACCTTTGTTGACATTGGTTTCCTCAGGTCCTGGACAGTCTATCTGCCGACGTGTGCTCCAATACAGGTGCTCTTTTCCAAGAAAGCGTTCTATGTGACCAGCCTGGCGACATGTCACAAGGGCAAGGCAGGCAGCAAAACCAAAGCAACATGAAGCAAGTAAGCACCGTTCATTGCAGTCCTGATGTTTTGGGCAGGTTAAGACGAACTCCAGCGGAGCGATCCATCTTGGCTGGGGTAGGTTCCAGAACTTGCGCAAGGCATGGGCTGAGGCAGTGCGGCTGGGCACAGAGTGATTTCCGAGAGCAAGCATTGTGTGCCACAATGCTTTGATGTGGCTTGTAGGTTTGCTGAGCACAGCAGAGGATGCAGATGACAATCCAAATTATCGGGGAACTTTGCAGCCCAAGGATCATCTGCTTGGATTTTAAACCCCCAAGCTTCAACCGAAGCTGAGCTCAGCAAGGGGTGTTGTGCACTGTCGGCCCAGGGCCACCTCGGTGTACACAGGGGAGTGGACTGTGCAGCTCTCACCTCTTGTATAGAAAATGCATGGGTCCTGAAGCCGAGTATCCGAATTATAGGCCGTCTAGTTGGACCTTAGACACCTGCTCGACAACGGACGTTGTGCACTTCCAGGGCCACATGCATGCACAAGGGGTGAGTGGACTGTAGAGCCCTCACATCTATCGTGCCAGACGAGCAGCAGAGACAAGAGGCCTTTCTGCAGAGATCTTGCAATGTACCCAGGTTGAGCTACTTGCGATTTGTCCAAGTTTTCTGGTCTCCGAGGTCAGACCGCCCGTGGGCACCCATCGGTGGCTCAGCAAGACCGCCATGTTTATCAAAGCCTGCAGTCTGAGAGTGCACACAGTTTGCTTTGCTGACTTCATGAGGCATGTGCCTTTTGTCCATACTTGAAGTGTGTGATGCTTTGGCTTCCTCGAAGATTCTTTCGGCTTGGAGTGTAAGCCTCCCTTTTGGGAGCGGCTTGGACTGCATTGGCAGTAATTTCCGGAGCCATGGCCGAGACAGGTTGTGCACTCTTGAAGCAGTGGATGCTGGCAGAGATAGACCAGGTGCAGAACGAGTCTGGCCTGCAGTAGAGTTGCGAGGGATAGAAGACCAAAGCGTGAAAGCAGAAGCTGCAACTTCAGCCAAGGAGCTTGGCCAGAGCAAGGCATCCTTGAGGGATTACATCGATGGCTTGCACTGCCGCTCCCCTGATGCTGCAGCCGAGCTGGAGCATGTCTCCAGGGCTGTGTTTGGTTACCCTTGTGTGGCTTCGGTGCTTCTCAGTACAGAAGGGACGAATCTCGGAAGCAAGCAGCAGCAGTGCACAGTCTAACAATAACACATCTATCCTCTGTTCAGGACCACAGCGGTTCTGAACTGGCGGTTCGACAAGGCCAGCTGTTGGGCAGGCGAGCCCGAGGCGTGGAAGATCTGTGGCATTGCCACTTGCCATACTAAAGGTTGTGTTGCTGTTCTTGCTGGTATTGACTAGAAGCTGAAGCTGAGGCTCGTAGCATCGTCAACAGTGGGTGGATGGCAGGCGAGCAGCTCTCCGTGCGTGAGAGGCCTGCCAAAACAGCTGCCAGATCCCTGCTGTTCTCCGATGGTGTGAAGCGGGGAATGGCTGCCATGTGGGTGTGCCTGGGCAAGAACTACTCGGGTGACTGAGCATGACTGTGTGGGAGTCAGGCGACTGTGTGTGTGGGATTTGGGGTGACCGCTGGGGTCGTGCTGCACATCTGGGATTTGGGCCTCGGATGGTGTCCTCTTGTGTGGGATTTGGGGTGACCGTGCGCACAGGATTTGGGGTGGCCGCGCGTGCAGGATTTGGGGTGACCGCGCGTGCAGGATTTGGGGTGACCGCGCGTGCAGGATTTGGGGTGACCGCGCGTGCAGGATTGGGGTCGTGCCGCGCATCTGGGATTTGGGCCTCGGATGGCGTAGTCTTGGATTAGTAGGGACAGGGAACCCAGATGCTCGGCAACTCTCAGTGGCCGCGCTTCCGGGATCTGGGGTGACCGAGCGTTTGGGAGGGTTAGGCCCTAGAGGCCCCAGATGCTCGGCAACTCTCAGTGGCCGCGCTTCCGGGATCTGGGGTGACCGAGCGTTTGGGAGGGTTAGGCCCTAGAGGCCCCAGATGCTCGGCAACTCTCAGTGGCCGCGCTTCCGGGATCTGGGGTGACCGCGCGTTTGGGAGGGTTGGGCCCTAGAGGCCCCAGATGCTCGGCAACTCTCAGTGGCCGCGCTTCCGGGATCTGGGGTGACCGAGCGTTTGGGAGGGTTGGGCCCTAGAGGCCCCAGATGCTCGGCAACTCTCAGTGGCCGCGCTTCCGGGATCTGGGGTGACCGAGCGTTTGGGAGGGTTGGGCCCTAGAGGCCCGAGATGCTCGGCAACTCTCAGTGGCCGCGCTTCCGGGATCTGGGGTGACCGAGCGTTTGGGAGGGTTGGGCCCTAGAGGCCCGAGATGCTCGGCAACTCTCAGTGGCCGAGCGTTTGGGAGGGTTGGGCCCCATGTAATGATGGCTGCAACTCTATATAGGCCATCTTTGAACATAGGCCCCATTTGCTCGGCAACTCCCAGTGGCCGAGCGTTTGGGAGGGTATACAGCAGGGTCTCCATATGAAGTTTGCTCCAACATAGTTGGCCAAGAGGGGCCCAGATGCTCGGCCACTGGCAGTTGCCGAGCGTTTGGGGCCTATGTTGAAACATGGCCTATATAGAGTTGCAGCCATCATTACTGTTGCCCCATAGGTCCGATCTGTAATGATGGCTGCAACTCTATATAGGCCATCTTTGAACATAGGCCCCATTTGCTCGGCAACTGCCAGTGGCCGAGCGTTTGGGAGGGGATACAGCAAGGTCTCCATATGAAGTTTGCTCCAACATAGTTGGCCAAGAGGGGCCCAGATGCTCGGCCACTGGCAGTTGCCGAGCGTTTGGGGCCTATGTTCAAAGATGGCCTATATAGAGTTGCAGCCATCATTACTGTTGCCCCATAGGTCCGATCTGTAATGATGGCTGCAACTCTATATAGGCCATCTTTGAACATAGGCCCCATTTGCTCGGCAACTCCCAGTGGCCGAGCGTTTGGGAGGGTATACAGCAGGGTCTCCATATGAAGTTTGCTCCAACATAGTTGGCCAAGAGGGGCCCAGATGCTCGGCCACTGGCAGTTGCCGAGCGTTTGGGGCCTATGTTGAAACATGGCCTATATAGAGTTGCAGCCATCATTACTGTTGCCCCATAGGTCCGATCTGTAATGATGGCTGCAACTCTATATAGGCCATCTTTGAACATAGGCCCCATTTGCTCGGCAACTGCCAGTGGCCGAGCGTTTGGGAGGGGATACAGCAAGGTCTCCATATGAAGTTTGCTCCAACATAGTTGGCCAAGAGGGGCCCAGATGCTCGGCCACTGGCAGTTGCCGAGCGTTTGGGGCCTATGTTCAAAGATGGCCTATATAGAGTTGCAGCCATCATTACTGTTGCCCCATAGGTCCGATCTGTAATGATGGCTGCAACTCTATATAGGCCCCATTTGCTCGGCAACTCCCAGTGGCCGAGCGTTTGGGAGGGTATACAGCAAGGTCTCCATATGAAGTTTGCTCCAACATAGTTGGCCAAGAGGGGCCCAGATGCTCGGCCACTGGCAGTTGCCGAGCGTTTGGGGCCTATGTTGAAACATGGCCTATATAGAGTTGCAGCCATCATTATGGATGCATTCCAGACGTTGCTGGAGGTCGTGTCTGAAACCCAGTCCCTGCACAATTCTCTGGCGGAAATTAAGGTGGGACCTGCTTGGGAAAATGGTCGAGAAGGCCGTGCCTGGCTACGACAGCAAAACTGCCAAGGAGCTTTGTGGACTTCTTCTTGCTTTGCCGACATGTGGCCAGCTGAAAATGGGGAGTCATGTTTGCTGTATCTGATTTCCATGGGTTCCTGACACATGCTACAGGCTGGGATTCGGCCTCCGACGAGACACACGAGCAGAAGCTGATCTCTGCCTGCTACAGGCAGAACACGAGAGGGGCCATGATCCAGCCCCTCACGGTCTTTCAATGGGTCAGTGTGGCCCTGCTCTCCTGTCACCCAGTGACTTGTATGATTATAAAGCCCATCTTGTCTTTCAGCCATAGCCATGCAGCAAGGCCGGCTGCAATGAAGCGGAACTCTTCGAGACTGCCCCAGCACGCCGGGCACACTGGCTGGAGGCCTTCCACCGGATCCTGAATGGCTACAATGAGCGTGTCAGTGTGGATGGGGTCGAGAAGCAGCCCACGAATGTGAAGAAGCGGAAGCGGGCCAGCCGCCAGACCAAGCAGTCTGCTGAAGCTGCTGCCGAGCTTGACCAGAGCAGTATCAAAATCGGCACCCAGAGGCAGACTGCCATCAAGTGCGTCTTGCAGCACTTCACCCGGCCGGCCTGGGAAACTTGCACACACCACATGGCCTGGACATACTCGGCGGCCAATAGTGCTTTCAGCGATGCCTTGTTGTCCTGGACACACTTGTATCCGGGCAGCTAACCCCCGCAAAGCTGCCTGCCCACCGAAGTGCAAGTGCTTGCTGCACATGAGGCGAGGCACTTGAATAGGTTGCTTTCTGGATTTTGTGAGCCTTTGTGAGCCACCCCGTTTTGCAATGCAACAGACTTGGCTCTGCGGATGGTTCCCTCCAAGGCTGCCTCAGCACTGACAGACTTCACGAGTCCGCTGACAACGGACGAGTTTGAGAATCTGCTCGAGAAGATCGTGAACAGCTTTGAGAATGACACGGCCAGACTGGATGTGACACAGTCCCGAGCGCAGTGTCCTGACGTGGGCCGAATGCTTGCATGTTGTGAAAGTGCAATGTGCTGCATCTTGCTTGCAGAACATTAACATCTGTGCACCGAGATACCGTGCGGATGTGCCTAAGCTCGAGCGATTCCGGACGGTCATTTGCTGCTGGTTCCGCTGCATGCAAGAGGTTTGCAAAAAGGACCCTGCAGAACACTTGTATTTCCTGGCATCAAAGTCGGAGTCGTTCAGTATCTAGTTGCAGCTTTCATGAAACTGTGGCCAAAGGACCTGACAGCAGACGATTTCAAGGAAGTGCAGGAGGCGATTCTACGAGGCACAGCTCTGGACCCTGCTGCATCCGGTCGGCAATTAGCATGTTCGGGCTGATGAGAAAAAAGCAAAAAAGTCTGCATGTCAAATCTCTTTCAATGGGGCAAAGAGTCCTATCTTTCGATGCAGAAGCAAACTGATACTGTAAACTTGATCTTCGCCTGTGTGTCTCAGAATCTTGCCAAAAGCATCTTCCGAGCAAAGGTGAAACAGATGGCCTCCACCTTCCCGCCACTCTTCCACAAGGCCATGATCCCTGACCTCCGGTCCGCTGATGACGATTGCCATGCCAATGTGGAGCAGAAAGCACTGGAGGAACAGGAGCTGAGCAACTGGCAGTCCAAGCTTGACCTGTTCCGCTGCCAGTTAAAGGCCGACCAAAAAATGGTCACAAGTGTGGCAGCGGGCCACCGGATCCTGGCAGACCGCCTGGACTGGGCCAGACACACGAAGCGGGCAGCCGAGATCGACAAGGCGACAAGCCTGGTGTCCCAATACATGGCCTGGTACCACCCTGTTTTGAAGTGCAAGTCTTTGGGAGATGCTGCAGCATGGTACATGAAGAATGATGCTGTGACATGTCTGCAGGAATCTTTCCTCGGCTGCTGGGAAGTTAGCTTGAGTTTGGAAATACACAGTGATGCTCAGGTGACCAAAGTGCCCCTGTGCCCGCCTCCGCCAAGTGGGTCTGCCTTTGTCTCTGATGACACGAAGTTCCAGCATCTGACGCTGCTGCGGATTGACCTGAATGTTCCCAATGTATCTTGTCCGAAGCTTGTTCCATTGAACCAAGCCCGGGCAGAGAGAGAGAGAGAGAGAGAGAGAGAGAGAGAGAGAGAGAGAGAGAGAGAGAGAGAGAGAGAGA